ATGCCATGCAAGGATACAAAATTACTAACAATTTTCCATCTGCTACTATTTTGTACCCCTAGGGAGCTGAATTGTTTAGAGACTGAAAAGACAATAGAACGTTTCATTAATTAAGACATCTGAGACTTAAAACACTTAAATGGAAGGAATTTTAGATGTATCCTTTATCCCTTCCTCTGTCATGTTGAAGACCAGTCTTTGTGAAAGTTCCAATGGGCTCTGCAGAAAACCTTCATAGAGAAGAGAAAGCATCAGGGATAATGTCAAAAGGGATTAGTCTCTTAGTCAATGCTGCTTGAATTAAAGGAAATCAGGACAGAACATGGGTCTGGTTTTTGTTCCTTTAGTCAGTGAACCAGAGTCCTTGTACATACAAGAGATTTTAGCTCTCAGGAATAAGTCTTTTCTAACTATTTTTGTTTATCTCTCCCACCTTTGAAATAAGGATGGTTTCCCATTAATTTATAGTCTGGAGTCTGCAAACTTCATTCTCTATACAGATTTTATGCTCCCGTCAGTTTTCCTGCATATGATTATTTATAAACTACTCACTGAAGATCTATTATGCACAAGGTATTGTCAATTTCAATTTACCTGGGTAGGGGGTATTCTATCCTAGTACTTAACTATTTGTTCTGTTATATTTGATGAACTGATAGCTATTAATATTATATTTATTGCACCTTAGTGCCTACAAAAATCTACCAATGACAAAATTGCTTCTGAGTTACAAAGCTCAGTCCCATTGTATTGTTTTGTATTAAATATCCTTTGAAATGATCAGAAAAACAATGACTTTAACAACTATCATGACATGCTCAAAAACATAACACAAGTAGTACAACATCCGAATATAAATTTCCTTAGGGATTTGTGAAAATAACCATTCTCTTTTTGTGTAGAAAATTGTCCTTGGTTTTATTTGTTTGGTTATCTTTTGTTTCCTTCTTTATTAATATTAATCTTATTGAGAAACAAATAGCAATGAGACAATTTCAAAATTGATTAATAAGACTGTTTCAATAATTAATGCATTGTACATTGTAAACTTCTTAGTGATTATCCATAGTAAAAGATGCAGGTATGATATCCTGCCTGCTGTATATCTATCCTAACTATTCTGCATATAAAGATGCAAAATGGTCCTTCCTTTGTATCCCCTTTTTTGTTTAGCAGGGTCAGAGATGGGCATTCCATTGCCATCTAAATACTGTAGGTCTGTGAATTCAGCAAAACAATCCAACACAGTCCAGCAGTCCACAATAATAGTGGGCTATCCATAGGACTGGTAATGTCAGAAGTTGTTGACTTGAGCCTTTCACAGCTCAGAATATTAATATGGGTTTATTTTATATACCTCATTTTTATACTTTTCTGCTGAATGGTTAAGACCAAGATAAAGCAAGACCTATATAACAAGAAATGCAACTTTTGTATCTGATAAGGTCAGTCAAGTACCCTTCAGGATTAACCCTGTAACCCTATACCTCAGTTTGTAGATCCTTTGTCAGTGTCAGCCATGTGGATGAGTCACGGCCATTGCTTGACCAATTTTCTCTCTGTGAAAGCCTGAAAGAATGTTTTCTCTCCTGGAGATTCTCCTTACGCACACTCTACATCATTGATCACGTTGCTCTGTGGCCCCATAATCTCCTTGATCAGAAAATTTGGGACTCAACTGAGTTACATGATGTTACAGTATAGGTTTTCCTATGTCCTGGGTCTTCACTGACCTTTAAAGGCTAGGGTCAAAATGTTGGCTGTCCTTGCAGCACTTGTATTTCTCTAATTTTTGGTCTGTAAACTTAGGTTTCTAACCCTCCGGAAGAGAAGCTTATTATTACTCTGCAACATATGCACTTGGGTTGAACCTCATTATCTGCCTGAATATCAAACATCCTAGGCATAACATGGAACACATACCTTCCATCAAGTATTGATATGTTAAACTTTAAGTCCCTACAGAATATGGAGAAAAAAATTTAAATGAAAAATATTTTTAAAATATGAATAAAAAGTTACATATTTTCACACAGAAATCTAGAAATCCAATCATATACAGCATTATAGCAGGACAGTCCTGCTATAATGACATTCTTTTTTCTTGTGTCTTTTTTTTCATTCATTGCCCTTTAAAAAAAAAAGTAAACATTTAATTGAGAGACAGTATGGAACAGTTGGTATGTCATGGCATGCAGTACATATTTAGAAGACCAGAATGACAGGCATTCCAAGCGTGACCCTTCTATTACACATTGTTATCTTCAGTGCAGCTGCTTGGTTCACAGGTATCAGCATATACAGTTAGTCTGGGTGAGAATCCTACCAACTAACTGCTAGTTTCAAAGACCTGCTGATGTTTCTCAGCATCATTGCCTTACCCATCTTATGCATATAAATGTATGGCTTTTCCCCTTTCATGTTTCCCAGATTTTTCTCCTTGCCCTCTCCTCATTGTCCTATTCTCATGTTCTTGCTTTCCTTTTAATTGTGTTATACCTTTCTATTTGTATTTCTTCTTTTGAGTTCTTATTCTAGGGAGACTATACGATATTTACACATGTGGATCTGGTTTTTTGTTTCCTTATAGACCATCATCCATGATTGCTAATCACTGTGAGGGCTTCTAGACATTCTCAATTGTGTAGAGATCTAATATTTAGGACTTGTATTGATTGACCTAATGTCATGAGTTATGTTAACAAACAACTTTATGTTAGGTACATTTTTATTGTTAGAATTAATATGTTGTTCATGTTTTCATTTACAAGAGATGTAGGGTCAGTGACATATCTGAACAAACTAAATGCTTTATAGGCAATCAGAGGCCTGGGCACACAGAGCCACGGACTGAGTCTAGGCGTACTGGAGCATGCCTGGTGTAGTGGCACACACCTGTATTCTCATTGCTGGGGAGGCTGAAAACAAGAGGATCACTAGGAGTCTGAGCTGTGTAGTGAGACCCTGTTTTTAAAAAAAAGAGAGTTAAAGGTAAATCTATTTCATTTAACCTTACAGATTATGTTTGTGCCTACTTGCACATATACCATCACCTTGAAGATTATTTCTTGCTATATATTCGTATTGATTTCGATCATTATTATGCACCCAGTATTTTATATTTTAATATATGAAAATTAACAGCTGTCATGTAAGTATCTGGAAAGACAAGTGATAAGACTAAATTTCCACAATATTAAATCAAGAAACATGAATTTATCAGTGAGAGACATTAAACAACAATAAAAAAGTAAAGAACATCTACTACAGACCTCATACACTTCTGTCCTTTTCAACAGTTACCTTTGGTTCACTGTCACACTGGTCTCTCAAATCCTCTTACACCAATCTCTCATTTTATACTGAAACTACATCAGCTTAACCCAGCCATGAATATTTCATGTGTCATTTATTCCCATTATTAACAGACCCCAAAATCCTATCTTAAAAAAGCATCTATTTGTTTTTCCACAATAAATTATATTTCAAAAAAATAAATTATATTTCAATAATGTTTTCTATCTCTAACTAGTTTCCAATCTATAAGTATTAATAATGCTGGCTCTATTTAGATCTTGGAGATTGTAAAGATTTTCCCCAAATTTTAAATTAACCAATGAAGACACTAAGATTTTTCAGTTTACAGAAATCTTGAATATTTTCACAAATCCATCAGATGAACTTTAACAATTAACTGCTAATTTTAATGTGATGTGTACCCACTTGAGAGCATACACACATAGTTCTACACTATCAAATATGACCATACTTAATTTTAATTGTAATATGGCTTTGTTTCTCCATTCAATCCGTTTCTCAAAGACATCTTATGAAAGAAGAATCCATAGGGATTGTCCTGATTAGAAATGCTACATGTTGTAAAGAAAATGATTCCACCCATGGTGGGTACCCTATCATAGATAGATCCTGCTAAATGATATCCATGAAAGATAGATTTCTTCTTATGTCAATAAGCTCACATTTCTATTCTTTTTTTATCCTGCGTCATGTTTATTTGCATGAAGAGCATTTGAGGGCACCAGCTCTCCAGTGATAGCACCCCAGGGTCATATCAGTCCCTTTGTTTTCACATCAGCAGATAAGAGGCTTTTACTGTGGACCTTTTACAGGAGCCTGGACACCTTTGGAAGGAAGCTCACATTTCTGAAATAACCATCATGTATCATGGAGAGCACAAAAGAAAAATTATAGCAACATTCCAAATAATTTCTTTATTCAATCATATCATGTACCGAATATTTATAATTCAGGATGGAGAGCTAAAATGTTTATGGCTAAGCAAGTTTAAATAGATTTCTCAGACTCATATAGATACCTCAGAGGATCAATTTCTGTTCTATCAAGTCTTATGAAACAAGCAAATTGCTAGATCACGCTCTTTAGCATTGGGAGAAGTACATGCCCAAAATAATTGCTAAATATAAGAAAATAATAAGCATTATAGCTACCACTTATGCGTGATTACATTATACACAAATACATTTTTTAATTATCAACATCAGTATTATAATAGCAATAATTATCACATTTGTGGAAAAAAAAACCAAAGATGGTTACATGTCATGTCAGTAGAAATTGTTACAATATAGAATAAAAACAGAGTTATAAATGTTTCATCATTGTTATGTAAACTTTAGACTTCAAAATATAGGTACTCTCAAGCAAAATATATAAGACATCTTCAAATGCCCTGGGAGTGTTAGAACAAAGAAGAAAGTGATTGATGTCAATAAATTCAAGGGTAAATAACGCTTGGGTAGAAAAATAGATATAGTTCTCCTTAGTTATAAAGCTTGAATACTTATAAATATTTGAAAGCAAAATATCCTTTCTCTTTCCTATACAAATCACTGTAAAGAGAGAAAATCATGGAGTGTGACAGACTCTAAACTATAGTGATAACGTGAAGTGTTAGCTATTTAAACTTTAGTTACAAGTTTTCCAAACATGTTTGCTTCCTAAGGAGCAAAACTATTGACATGGAGGGAGAAAATCACACAAGGACATCGCAGTTCATTCTCCTGGGCCTCTCACAGGATCCTGAACTTCAACCCCTTCTCTTTGCACTGTTCCTCTCCATGTATCTACTCACGGTGCTCGGGAACCTGCTCATCATCCTGGCTGTCAGTTCCGACTCCCACCTGCACACCCCCATGTACTTTTTTCTCTCCAACCTGTCCTTTGTGGACATCTGTTTCACCTCCACCACAGTGCCAAAGATGTCGGTGAACATCAAGGCACACAACCATGACATCTCCTACATGGAATGTCTCACTCAGGTATATTTTTCTATGCTTTTTGCTGGCATGGATGATTTTCTACTCACTGTGATGGCCTATGATCGCTTTATAGCCATCTGTCACCCCCTTAACTACACAATCATCATGAGTCATCAACACTGTAGTCTTCTGGTTCTGATGTCTTGGCTTATTATTGCCTGGATCTCCCTTATTCAAATCCTATTGATGAAGCCACTGACCTTCCGCCTAGGCACGAAAATCCCTCACTTCTTCTGTGAATTAGCTCAGGTTCTCAAAGTGGCCAGCTCTGATACCCTTATCAATAATGTCATCTTGCTTGTAGCAACAGCCCTGTTCTGTGTGTTTCCCATGACTGGGATCCTCTTCTCCTATTCTCAGGTCATTTCTTCCTTAATTAGGATGTCCTCCTCCACAAGCAGGTATAAAGCATTTTCAACTTGTGGGGCTCACCTCTGTGTGGTCTCCTTGTTCTACGGAACAGCACTTGGGGTGTACCTCAGTTCTTCTGGTACCCATTCTTCCCAGACAAGCATTATTGCCTCTGTGATGTACACTGTGGTGACCCCCATGCTGAACCCCTTCATCTACAGCCTGAGGAACAAGGATGTGAAGGGAGCCCTGGGAAGACTCCTCAGCACAACAGTGTCTTGTCTTTCATGGAGTACTGACCTCAGAAGAAAACAGACATTGTGGTTCCTTAGACAAGCACTGTGAGTTTCAATATGCCAGCTCCATTCATCTCCAAAGATACCTTTCTTCATTTATTCTATCCAGGAGCTTTTAGAGCTCTGTTGTACATGCTTTTAATTATTTCTCCTTAACAACTTTTGCATTGTTCCTTCCTAAGTTTTCTACTGTACTCTTCATGTTCCAATGATGACCCCTTGCTTCTATTTTGTATGTATGAGTGATACTTCTGAATATGATGGTCTATGACTGCCAAGTAGCCCTGTCTTGTTTCTTCTACAATAAAGTGACCATTAACCCTCATTCTTGTGGCATAGCTTTGTTTTTATATTTCAAGCATTCGAATATACTGCAGCACAACTTGAGTGCATCACAATTGACATTGCAGTGTGTGGAAATTGCTAATTTCTTATGCCACCCCTCTTAGTCCTTAATGTTGCCTGTTTTCATACTTTTGTCAAATAAATCATCGTGTATTTTATTGGTGCCTTCTTTATATTTATTATCTCTAGTATCTTCATTATTACCATAAAATCATTTTCTTCATTTTGAGAAAGCCAACATTAACAGGAAGTGCAGAACTCTGCCCTACAGGGGGTTCTCATTATTCAATTGTTTGCTTAATTTATGGAATGAGTTTTACAGTGTACATTGATTCCTCATTACTATATTATTGTGTCAAACACAATGCAGTTGCCTCGGTGATGTATAGTTTGAATTTCTTCAACAGCTTCAGAAAGAAGAAACGTGAAAAGTGCCATAAAGAATTTCCACAACACGGTAGTATAAGTGTACTACCTTTGTTATGTTATTTGTATGTGGATTTCAACCTTCAAAGAAATTGAACAAGTGTTCTTGTAAATCAGACTTCCTTGGTCACAGTATGCTTGTACTTTGTGTGATGTTACATTCTCATTATGTTTTGCAACACAAATAGTCAAGATTGAATGGTGGATAAATTGAAAAATCTTTAAATGAGAAAAAATGTTGGCTGCTGACGGATGAAAATTTAATGCAAATATATTGCATCCATGCATGTATAACAATGTGAATTTATTTAAATTATTAAACCATGAACATAAACAATGATGAATGCATGAATTTTTAATGTATATTTCACAGCAATAGGCAATGTAAATAACACAAGGATGGATTTATTATTGTTTTATATATATTTTATATTAACTTTTTAGAGAAAGAAATAGGCTGCAGACAGGTCGAAAACAGGTTACTACGATAGTTACAATAATTAACACGTTGCATATTTTTGTTTCCACAGTAGTTATCATAGTACAAACTGCAGATAGGATATGTTGTCTAAACACTATTAGTACAAATCTTTCTGCTCATTGAACTAAGAGAAAGTAGCTATGTATCTATCCTATTTTGTATAAACAGATATATATTTTTCACTACAAAATGCTACTTTATTTATAATCCCCTTTTTTTGCTTATTTTTGTCAGAGATGGGTATTCCATTGCCATTCAAATATTGTAGGTATGTGAATACAGCAAAGTAATCTAATATAGTCCAGTAGTACATAATAGTAGTGGCTTATCCGCGTGACTGGCAAAGTCAGAAGTTGTTGACTTCAGCCTTTTACAACTCAACATAATAATATGACTTTACTATTTATACCTCACTTTTATACTTTTCTGCTGGATTGTTAAGACCAAGATAAAACAAGACTTACATAGCAAAAAATAAATTTTTTTTATCTGACAAGGTCAGTCAAATAACCTCAGGATTTACCCCGAAAACCTGAACAACAGTTTGTAAATCTTTGTCAGTGTAGTCATGTGGATGAGTCATGACCATTGCTTGACAGATTTGCTCTTTGTGAAAGCCTGAGAGAATGTTTCCTCTCCATGTGACTCTCCTTAGGCACACTCTACATCGTCACTTTCCTCTGTAGCCCCATAATCTCCTTAAAAAGAAAATTGGGGATACCACTAAGGTACAGGATGTCACAGTACAGGTTCACGTATTACTGAGTCCTCATTGACCATGAAATGCTAGTGCCAAAATGTTGGTTATTCCTGTGACCCTTGTTTTTCTTTAATTTTTGGTCTGCAGACTGAAGTTGTTAACCCTCCAGAAGAGAAGCTAAATGATATTACTACCCTACAACATAGGTAATAAATGATATTCTAGAGAGAAAAAAAAAATGACAAGGATGCCACCAATGAGAACAGAAAGAAACTACCAAATAGGGCAAGCAATTAGACACAGAAGAAAAAGAGGTAAATAACAGCAAATAAATTACATGTCAATCATAAGTCAATACATCACAATTATAATCATCAATGTAAATAGACTCAATTCACCAATTAAGAGAAATAGACTGGCACAGAGGACTAGGAAGCAAAATCCAAAAATATGCTGTATGCAAGAAGCACACTTAAATCAGAAAGAAATCCATAGGCTGAAAGTCAAGGGGTGGAAAATAATACTACACCCTCCAGCACCTCAGTAAAAAGCAGGGCTAGTAATCCTGCACTCAGACAGTGTCAACTTCAAACCAAGAATGAGCAAATGAAATAAAGAAGGAACTACATACTGATTAGGGGGAAAATACAAGAGGAAGAGGTAACACTCATAAATATGTATGCACTGAACATGGAATAACCCAGCTATATAAGACAAATCACAATGGACATCAAAAATATAATATCCAATACCACAATCTTAACATGGGACCTTAACACCTCCTTATTCCAAAAATATAGGACAAGCAGACAAAAAATTGGCAAAGAAGTAGCAGAACTAAACCAGAATTTGGAAGAAATGGACTTAGTGAACATATACAGAGTGTTCCACCCAGCCACAGTTTTTTTTTCAGCTGAACATGGAACATTTACTAAAATAATCCACATACTCATCCATAGGTCATGCTTCAGTCATGTAAGAAAACAGAAATTAACCCATGCATATTATCTGACCACAGTGCAATAAAAACTGGAAATAAATGATAAAGGAAACCAGAATTGACCCACAAATACATGAAAATTAAACAACCCCTTCCTCAACAATGAGTCACAGATGAAATTTAACAAGAAATTAAACGAAATATACAATTCAATGAAAATTCAAGGAAAACATATAGGAATTTATGGGATGCAATGAAAGCAGTTTTTAGATGGAAATTTATATCTGTGAACTCACTAATTAGGAAAAAAGAAATGAAATGAAATACCCTAATGCTGCAACTCAAACATCTAGAAAAGGAACAACAAACCAAACCCAAAGCCGAAAGACAAGAGGAAATTATAAAAATTAGAGCAGAAATTACTTCACTCAAGATGAAGAAAGCAATTCAAAGATTAAAGAATCAAAAAGCTGGTTCTTTGAAAGAATAAATGAAATTGATAAGCACCTAGCTAACTCCATCTGAAAGACAAAAAAAAATTTTCAAATACAAGCAACAAGGAATGAAAAGGGTGCAATTACCAGAGACCCAGTGGAAATTGAGAATATCATCAATACCTACCTTGAGAAGTTTTACTCTCACAGAATAGAACACATAGAAGAAATAGACAGATTCCTACAAAGGTGCAAATTACCAAAACTGAAACAAGAAAATATAACAACTCTCAATAATCCCATAACAGACAATGAAGTATGAAATGTAATTTATTTATTTTTTTTAAATATTTATTTATTTATTTATTTATTTATTTATTTATTTATTTATTTTGTGTGTGTGTGTGTGTGTGTGTGTGTGTGTGTGTGTGTGTGTGTGGCCAGCTCAGCCCACCAGGGGGCGGGGCTGGCTGGCATGTGGTGCTGGGGGATTGAACCGCGGTCCCTGTGCTTTGCTTAGCTTAGCTTGTTCTGAGTAGGTGCTTTAGACCACTCAGCCTTCTCACCAGCCCCATGAAATGTAATTTAAAAAAAAAAAAAAACACCGACAAAGTAAAGTCCAGGTCTGGATGGATTCATAGCTGAATTCTACAAGAAATTTATAGAAGATAAAATTCCTACACTCCTCAAACTCTTCAAAGAAATTGAAAAGGAAGCAATCCTCCCAAAATCATTCCTGGAGGCAAGTATTATACTGACACCAAAACCAGGGAAAGATGCAACTAAAAATGAGAACTGCAGACAATCTTCTTCATGAACATAGATGCAAAAATCCTCAGTAAAATACTAGCAAATAGAATACAGAAAATCATCAAGATTATATACCACTAACAGGTAGCATTCATCCCAGGGAAGCAAGTTTGGTTCGATATACACAAATCTATAAATGTAATACACTATATCAATAGAACCAAATTCAAACACCACATGATCATTTCAATGGATGCAGAAAAGGCTTTTGCCAAACTCCAACACTCATTCACTTTCAAAGTCCCATGATAAAAAGTCATTTGTGACAACCCAACAGTTAATACAATTCTAAATGGGGAAAAACTGAAATCCTTTACACTCAGATCTGGTACAAGATAAGGATGTCCTCTATCACGACTCCTATTCAATATGGTTTTGGAATCATTAGCTAGATCTGTTAGACAAAAGAGAGAAATAAAATGAATAAGAATAGGTAAAGAAGAAATTAAACTTTCATTATTTGCAGATGACATGATACTTTACTTGGAATACACAAACAACTTCACCAAGAAGCTACTAGAATTAATACATAAATTCAGTAGAATAGCAGGATACAAAGTCAATACCTAAAAGTCAACAGCATACCTATACACAGATAACAAACACACTGAGAGGGAAATTACAGAAACAATATCTTTTACAATAGCACTGTGAAAATTGAAATACTTAGAAATTAACCTAACTAAAGAAGTCAAAGATCTATTCAATGAAAGAAGTCAAAGATCTGTTTTCTACAGTACTCTGAAAAAAGAAACTGTAGAAGATTTCAGAAAATGGAAAAATATTCCCTGTACTGCATAGGAAGAACCAACATTATGAAAATAGCCATACTCCAAAAGTGTTATACAGATTTAATGAAATCCCTATCAAAATACCACCAACATACTTCCCAAGCCTAGAGAAATCATTCCTA